ACATGCATGTTCAGGTCTCTATTTTTTAGAGACAAGGTCTTGCTCTGGCTCAGGCTGGTCTCGAACCTGTGAACTCAGGCAATCTACCCGCCTCAGCCTCCCAAGTGCTGGAAAGGCTGAAAACTAGAAAAACTAGCTGGGCACTGTGAGGGGCACCTGTGGTCCCAGCTACTTGCAAAGGCTGAGGCAGGAGGATCATTCAAATTCAAGAATTTGAGGTTACTGGCTGGGAGCGGTGGCTCACGTCTGTAATCCCAGCACTTCGGAGGCTGAGGTGGGTGGATTGCCTGAGGTAGTGACCAGCCTGAGCCAGAGTGAGACCTCGAGACCTTGTCTCTAAAAATAGCCAGGCATTGTGGCAGGCACCTGTAGTCCCAGCTACTTGGGAGGCTGAGGCAAGAGAATCACTTAAGCCCAGGAGTTAGAAGTTGCTGTGAGCTATGATGCTATGGCACTCTACCAAGGGTGACAAAGTGAAACTCTGTCTCAAAAAAAAAGAAGAAAAAAGAAAAAAAAATCAGGATTCAGACTCTGATCTTTTGCTACTCAAAGGTCATGCATGACATAAATGATATCAGTGGTGGGAAAAATGAAAGCCTGATTTAAACTAATCCACTTAGTGTGTGGCTATTAGATTTGCTTTGTTTTCCAATGCCCTTGCCACCCACAGTTGGTGTAGTTTGTGCCCTGCATAAAGTAGTCTGGCTAAGAGGCAAAGGAAGGCTGTTGAAATCCTGGTTGTACTTCACCAGCTAAGCAGGTACCCAGAAGGCTTTGTCTACCCAAAGGAGTGCCTTTTCTCTAATCTGCAAAGTAGGGGTAGTGGGACCAGCATTACATGCAAGCCTCATCTAGAGGGAATTCAAACCTGTTTATTAGGGGGAGGGGCAGTATTAAGTAGCCTTTGAGTACCACAATTTCCACTGGCCTCTCTAAGCCCAGCAACAACAGGCCCCACTGATGTGGGTAAATCACAATGACTTCCTGGTCCTTTTCCTATGCTTATTCTCCAGTGAATAGAACTGGAGTCATTTCCTTCTGTGTTCTTCCCATCTTTTTTCTCCACTGTCCTATAGCCTTTCCCCTATTTCTTGTAGCCCAGTCCAGGTCTGGGCAGGGACTATCCTACCTAGCCCCGCAGTTCCAAGGGTGCAGCCCAAAGTATGGACCATTTATAATTGTGTAAAAGGGACACTATGAGAACCCCACAATCTACATATTCTCATCACAGATCACCCAATTATCTCTTTTCAACTGTTTCTATCACAGAACCTCCCTCCAACTACCAAGGTGACTCATTTTTTTTTTTTTTTTGGTAGGGATAGAGTCTCACTTTATTGCCCTTGGTAGAGTGCAATGGCGTCACACAGCTCACAGCAACCTCCAACTCCTGGGCTTAGGTGATTCTCTTGCCTCAATCTCCCAAGTAGCTGGGACTACAGGCAAATGCCACAACA